ATACCAAATTCCCCACCACAGCGTTTGTCACCCCACTGACTTAGTTTCTATGCCGACTTGCTTAGGTCCCCGCAATCTCCCGCGGCCACCCGACGCTCAGCCTTGCAAAACTACACTCAGATAATCAGGACTTTCTGACTCGCCGATCGTCACATCATCTAGCCACTACTTCCTTGAAGCTGGCAGGTGGGTTKAGAGAGAGATTTTCGRAAATGCTTGCGATTTTATAGTTATGAAGGAGGAAGTAGAAGACGGGAGAGACGGAATGAGAACGTCGAGAAGGGGTCAAAGAGAGGGAGGAGGGGAATACTATTGTTTGCCTTGGGGAATGCCATATCAATCCGCCCGAGTTCTTCGCAGCCAATCAGATCACAATGTGAGGAGATTAATCATCCTTACATGCTGTTATCTGATTGCTTGAAGGCTCCTGTACRAGAATGACGACAGGAACGGGGAGAGGCGAAGAACGATGCGAGGAGGGGCCACGATTATGAAGGAGGAAGTAGAAGACGGTAGAGACGGAACGAGAACGTCGAGAAGGGGTCAAASAGAGGGAGGAGGGGAATACTATTATTTGCCTTGGGAATGCCATATCAATCCGCCCGAGTTCTTCGCAGCCAATCAGATCACAATGTGAGGAGATTAATCATCCTTACATGCTGTTGTCTGATTGCTTGAAGGCTCCAGTACGGGAATGACGACAGGAAGGGGGAGAGGCGAAGAACGATGCGAGGAGGGGCCACGATTTAGATGAAGGGAGGGAGAAGTGTGAAGGACAAGGGGATGAAAAACAGTTACGAGTCAAGGGAAGAAGGCGTGAAGGAGAGGAGAGTGAGGATGTCTTTGGATACAGCAAGAAGCGGGGGAAGCTTGCATGCATGGCACTGATGCGGAAACAAAAAGACACCGAAACAGTTACGCTTTGTCCACCCCAGCTCTTAAACTAGTTCAAGATTGAAAATTCAAAAGCAATATCTGCGCGCGGAATTAGACATGCGGATATCCTACGCCTATTCTAGTCTCTTGAGGAAATTCCATGAGGTTTCCGTGGCGGATTTGAACACTCATGTACAAGAAAGGACACGTGAGAGGGAAGTGCGCCCGTAAATTTCAGAGTTTCCAACTGTCGAACAAAATTCCTAGCGCGCACCGAGTGCGCGTGATTCCTACTTGAATTCATGTATTTTGAAGAAAAATAAAATTTCTGAAAATTCTGAGAAAACAAAAATACTTCAAATTGGGAGGGCCTCGACGGCCATTGGTTCCATGCAGTACTCGCCTGCCGACAAGAAGGCACCCAAAGCCCGTTAGAGACCGAAAAGAAAAAGAGTAGTAGAACCTAGGGCTTCGAAAGCTCGTTCAAGCGCGGAAGTTGGCACGTCATGTACTGGTGCATTCTTTGAGTTATGTACAAAGTGAGGAAGGAATGCCCATGATCTCGTAAAGTCTGATTTGGGCATGCCCATCAACTATGGGCAGTTCAAACCGCCCAGCATGTGCACATTTGTTTCTCCGCGCTAGCACATTGCTTCTAGTTGTGCAGGATACCAGCGATTCTTGGCGCTTTTGCCGAAATCAACCTCATCCTCCGCACCATCAAGTCACTGAACACTGCATGTTCAATCCTAGCCCTTGAACTGCTCTTCATTTATCTTCCCACATTCCTCTTCGTCACATCGGAGTGTCTAGGTAGTTTAACCACCACCCTCATTCTGGGGTCTAGCCCAAACTTCTTTTTCAAAACCCTGGTCGCAATCAATCTAAGGCTCTAACTATTTGCTTGCCTCTTCTCTCTGAAAACTTTTCAATCATGTTCTCCATCTCCAGCATTCATCAAGAGATTTCTTCAAAATATTTCTTCTTTTCCATGGTGCCTACAACAATCCAATCACTTCGGCTTTGATACTTCAGTCCTTACAATACCCCACAACTTCCATGGCCACAAGGTCTGTTCCCCGCCTTCTTCTATGTATCCTTTTGTGTAGTTTCCTCCTGCCGTTCACTATCAAATTGTGCCCACATATCAGTCGGACCAAGTTCAACGCTTTCAGCCACGTAGGCCCAACCACATTTTTTATATTGGTCCTCTTGGAGCTGGTCTTATCATGACTTTTATGTACCGTCCTGAGTATCTTGAGCTAGTCCGGCTGATGAAAGGCGTGTAATGCTTCACACGTAAAGAGCAGTGGCCCGGAACACTCTGTCCCTTGTCTCCCTTCCGTTTCCTGCTCCTCCAGTTCTTAAGTCACGTCTTCCTGCACAATTTACAGCTTAACCCCGGATTATTACTCCTTATTACCTTGTTTGCCATTTCCATGATTGCCACTGCCCTTCCAAAACAGATCGGACACACACAATACTTTTCCACCCCGAATCTTCTCAATTAACCATACACTTTCCGTTTCCCATTTGTCCGACGGACATATTTGTGTTCTTTTCAATGAGTATTCAGATCGCGGTTAGTCATCCCAACATACAACAACGTACCGAAAAAAAACACCGTAAACGCATGAAGAACCTGTCCATTAACCTGCCTGTCCAACTTCCCTTAGTGGTTGTCATAGAGGATTCTCCCCTTCCTCTTTTTCTTCTTCCCTTTCTTCTTTTTTCCCTTTTTGCTTATTGATAAGAAAACTTCCGCCCTATTGGTGGTGTTTGTTGTTATTTTTTTATTTTTTTTAAAGGTAAGCTATATTCTTCTCTCATCTATCTCATTTTTCTTGATAGTACGCATCTAAATCATCCTCTCACTATTATGTATATAGTATGGGGGAACACCAACCAACCCGGATCCCTCCCCAGCCCACAGGGTAGGTGGGCACCACAGCTGTGGTGCGAGGGCAAGGCTGTACCAGTCCCTCATCACGGTGACGAGGGGTGGGCAGGCATTGCCGATGGGGGAAATCGGCAGTGCTAGCGCCGAGCAATGGCCTGTCATTGCACCTTCCCCCACTCCCCCCCAACCCCACATGGCAGTGTCTAATGGTCAATATTGTCGCTGCATAGCAGCCAACAACATCAGTCAAGGTCCTACGAATGCTGGCTTGGGGGGCCGACGGGTTATCTCTAGCTGGTAGAACACCAAGTTTGCCCAGGCACATTGTGAGGCGAATGGGGATTGAACCCACAACCTCCTGAATGCAACTTTTGTGCCTTACCAACAGAGGTGCACTTATCAGCACCACTAGCATTAACTTGGGTTGTTTTCGTCAAAAAAAAAAAAAAAAAAAAAACTTCCGCCCTGGTGGCGGCCTTAACAAGTGAAGACCTGGTTTACTGCAAGTTGGAAAGTGTGAGTCTGACTGTTGGTTCACAGGAAGCATCGGCAGGTCCTCATTCCAGCTAGTACCTTCTTCCCCCAGATACAACGTACGGTAATTATAGTTGTATTTGGGGTATCTTTCAGTCTAAATGCAGTTATAATGACCGTACATTGTATTCGGGGGGAAGAAGGTAATTCGATGGGGTAATGGTCAAACCCATGCAGGGAAAGCTAGTGTGAGTACGGGTCCTTCTAAGCAAAAACAGACTTGTGGCAATAGGAATTCTGAGGGGAAGGGTTTCCTGGTAGCCAGTTCTGAGGGGAAGGGTTTCCTGGTAGCCAATTCTAGGTTATCATTCTGAGGGGAGGGGTTCCATGGGAGCCTATGGGCCTCGTTAGACACTCCTTATGGACCCGAAATTCACAAGGAAATGATCGTTACACCTATCCTTGGGGACGATCGTCGAAAAAAAATGTGAAAACACCACAAGGACATTTCCTTGTGGCGTCCTTGTGGCCACAGCCAATTTTCCCTAAGCCCCAAGGGACCTCCCGAGGTCCCTCGTAACACAAGGAAGCGCGAAATTCGGAGCGACGAAGGCATGCTTTGATGCACAATTTCGGTTGGAGCGTGCTCCAGACGTGGTCCGCCGAAAGGGAGCACGGACATCTCCGCCTCGAAAGTCTGCTCGTCGTCCCAACGGCTCCAAACGGTAACCGGCGGCGCGAGGCCTCCGTCCGTCCGCGCGACTCGACGGCCACCGCCGTCGTGCGGTCTGCTCCGGCGGGCGATCGTCGACAACGGTCTAATATTCTAAAGTTTTTGCACACGGCTCCCCGCTCGGCGATGACATTCATTCGACATGATCGTCATTTTCTTCCACTGCCGTCACGCCTCGCACGTTCGAGCACAGATCTTCCACCGATCTTCCTTGTCTCGACGACCTTGTTTGTTGAACGGTCGACCGCCTACGTCGGTTGCATCCCCTTCGAACGGCCCTTACATGGCCGACCTGCTGTACAGGCTTCCCCTGCTGTTCCTCATCGTCTTGCTGCTTCTCGCCATTGTCTTGTACCACGTGTGTCTCGTCGGCCTCGTCCCGGTCGCGTCTGGCAGAAGGAGATCTCCCAGGAAGGCCGACAGGATGGCTGGACGACTGCCGAACGGCAGACCGGCAGGCACATCCGGCGGATCTATCAATCGCCAACGGAGTGCGGGGTCAGTGGCGATGCAGCCGTACGACCCGAGGTTGTATGCGCACCTCCCTTCTCACGAGATTCCTCTGCCGCCGTCGGATGACGAGGGGGGGGAAGCCAGGTCGCCGACTTTGCCGTTGGGAAGCGGTTCTACGCAGGACTGGGCGGCGACGGAATCGTGCGGCGGCAGGGGGGTGGAGACGTCGTGGTCTTACACGTCACTTCTGAACGAGGGGCTGTGTGATGATGACGGCGATGCAGCGGTCGATCTGAGCTTTCATCTAGCGGAGCAGCCGCAACGCACACTCAGATCATCAATCCCCACTCGGGTGGGGATTGTGCGGAAAACACGCAAGGCGTTGTCTGAGGTCCACGAGACGGCAATCTGTCTCAATCGGTTCGCGACGGTGGAGGTGATCGTAATAACTCGTCGCCGAGCGTCGGTGGAGGATTCGGTGCGCGTAAACGACCGGACTGGATGCGCTTGTCGCCTGCTACGCGAAGCGGACACGGCGCTACTCGAGGGCGACAGCTGGCGGAGGATTTGATTGGGGGATTTCCGAACGTGCAACGCAACGGCAGGCAGGTCTGGGCAGAATGCAGGCAGGAGTTGCATCAAGGTGAAACGGAGATGATCACCAGACGGGTGCAACGGCTGCACGTCGACGAAGTGGAAGACGCGGATGTTGATGAGGGGCAGGGGTGTGGCGACGTGGACGGCGAGGACGGTTGCAAGTCTGACGATTTACCAGACGTCAGGCCGCTTGGGAGGAGGGCGACAAGAGGCGGATCCGGTGCGAAGAAGGGCCCCGCCATGAAACCGAGATGGATGAAGAACATGGATGACGATGGCGAGGGCGGCCGGAATTTCTGGTCGGTAGGAGACACGGCCGAGCTCGTGAGGGCAAAAAGGAATCAAGATCTCTATATCGCCGGCCTGGGGACTAGTTTCACCTGCATGAAAACGGCTGCGTGGAAGTGGGAGGACGTGCGGGTGAGGTTGCAGGCGATGGGAGTGACGAGGGATGCCGTCGACTGCGGGAAGCAATGGGACAACTTGATGCAACAATTCATGAAGGTGCACAAGTTTCAGAACCTCTCCGGCGGGAAGGACTACTTCAGGCTTGCTTCGAGGGAGAGGCGATCGAAGGGCTTCAGCTTCGTCATGGACCGGAGCGTGTACGACGAAATGGAGGCCATGACGAAGGGGGATCGCACGATCCACCCGGCAAATTTGGCGGACACTGGGGCAGCGGGGGGGGTTCAAATGCCCGCAGGCGCGAGGGGGGATGGGGGCAGCATGGGCGCCGATGGTGGAGGAGAGACGACAGACGAGGAACAAGAGTCGACGAAAGACTCGTCATTTAGCGCGGGAAGCGGCGGCGGTTATGGGAAGAGGAAAAACATGCGGCAACAAACCTTTGAAGCCGTCGCCGACGTCATGGAGAAGCACGGTACGCTCATGGTGAGCACAATGGACAGTGCCAGCAAGCGGCAGTGCTCTGTGATGTCACGGTAGTGCGAAATCCTGGAGAGCGAGGTGGAGGTGCAGAGGAAACACTATGCAACGGCGGATGAGGCGAATAGAATAATGTGCAACGCGCAGCTGGAGATAGCAAAAGCCATCCGCGAGAGATCATGACTGGCGCGCACTTTCATGTCCATCCGCAGATAGAGCGAGAGTGTGTGTGTGTGTATGTGTGTGTGTGTGTGTGTGTGTGTGTGTGTGTGTGTGT